TCTTTATTTTGCGTGTTGTCTCAGCTTTGTGACTGCTCAGTGCGGGCTCCAGTTTTCATCTCGAGGCGTGCGTCCTGGGTTCACCACGGTGCTGGCCCGTCACCTAGACAAGAACACTATGGGGTACCTGCAGTGGCGCTGGGGGATCCAGTCTTCTATGAACACCAGCATAGTGAGGGACACTAAGAGCAGCCATTTCACCTTCGCAATGCAGGTCAGGAGCCAGGAGTGATATTTAACTGAAAATCACAGCCGGTTATCACAGTATCACCAAGATTAACGCTCACATTTTATCTCTGCAGCTTGGCATTCCTCACACTTTTATGATGATGAGCTACCAGTACAAGTTTCAGGATGAAGACCAGACGAAGATTAAGGGCTCAGTAAAGTATGTTGTTAACGAGCAATATGTGTTCATAATGGAACCCCTGTTGTAGGTCATATTAACGTTGCTTTTCTGGTGTAAAACTCTAGAGTGATTAATGTTTCTATTAAATGAAGTTTGGGTGGGATAATTGTTGTGCAGGGAACTGGCCTGTTAAAGTAAATGATGGGTAGAGTGGTTGTAACTTTGCGCTTTTGGTGCAGATCAGGGTTTTTTGGGACTGTGGTAGAATACGGTGCCGAGAGGAAGATCAGTCGGCACAGTGTCCTGGGGGCCACAGTCAGCGTGGGAGTGCCCCAAGGTGTCTCCCTCAAGATTAAGTAAGTGTAACTCGTTGTTCCAATTTCCCATTCATTGGAGTTTCCCGAGTTTCCCTCAATTTCTTGTTGCCATTTCTCCTTTTTTTTTCACAAATTGGGAGTGTGTATCTGCACATGTTAACACAGGATTCAATACAATATGATGTTAGGTGTTCCTGGGGTATGATTTAAAAGCAAGTGTATGTACAGCTTACATTTTATTTTTAGACACAGACAGACTTAAGAAGAGCATATCACATAAATTAATCATCTGAGAAACAGCGCACAGCTCACTCTCCCACTTGACCTGGAGTTCTGCAGTGTTTTCACTTTGCTGTGTTTTCAACCTCAGGCATATGACTATAGATAGAAATATTAAAACCAACTCTGTATCCACAGACTTAACAGAGCCAGCCAGACGTATTTCTTCCCTATTCACCTGACTGACCAACTCCTGCCTAGTGCTGTATTTTACGCCACAGTGGGACCACTGGTATTCTACCTCGCCATGCAGCAGCTTATTATTCGGCCATATGTGCGGGCCCAGAAGGAACAGTAAGAAACGTTCTTTACCTTAGTTGTTTCACGCAAGCGGTGTTATTGGAAGTAGCGCCACATGTATTATTATGGGCAGATTTTATGAGCTCATTTTATTTCTCCATTTATCTTTGAACTCAACAGAGATTTGGAGAAACAAAGGGAGAGCTCGGCCTCTGATATAGCCAAAAAGAAACAGGAGGCAGAAGCTGCTGTGAGTATTTTACAAGTTGCGGTGCCGATCCTGCGTTGTTGTCAACGTTAGATAAGGGATGCAGGTGTTGTGTCTGTCAAGCAGTATTATTCTTGCCAGTAGAGAGAGATGGGATTAGATAAAATGCAGAGCATTAGTCAAATTCATTAGTTTAATCCACACAATGTAAAACCTCATTATTTGTGTCTCTTTTCATATCTAAAGGTCTTGCTCATGCAGGAGTCAGTGCGCAGGATCATTGAAGCTGAGGAGGCTCGGATGGGTAAGATTAGTAATATTTGAAGAAAGCGGTATCCTGAAAATAATGTTATTTGTTAAGAAAAAATATAATAATTTTGGATTCAGAGCTGTTTTTTACATTTTGAGCGAAATCTATTGATGTCGGCTTGAGTTTTGCCCAGTACAAAGTGTAAATTCTCACATATTGCAGCATTTGGCTACATCAAAAGCAAAAAAATCCTTTATTAGCAAAAGAAAAAAATCTCTGTTTTCACTTGTTGATAATTCCTACCACACACTTAAAAAAAACATAGAAAACACTGTAATCATCTTCTTCAGAGGTTCACTAAAACCGACTTTCCTTTGAGTATCAGGTAACTTGCATTGTTCACACCAATTTCTTTTTAAATGAAGCTAAAACAGTTAATAAAGAACTATAGTTTTTAGTGGATTTTTGTGACCCTGCTACTTTCTTTTTAGCTGGTGATAATTAGTCTTCTTTGTCAGTTTGTCTTTGATAAGCAGAGGAACAAAAAGCTTTGAGCAGACAGCACAATTTTCACCTTTGGGAGTTTGACGAGCGATAATTGCCTTATGACACCTGTCACAGTTGAGATTGTTTGATTTTTAGTATCATCGGCGGTCCTTTAGACTTCAGGCCTATAAAGTAACAGTTAATAACAGTGTGTGTGCGCGTGTAGTGACAGGCATGCAGCTGCTCTTTTCTATTTAATTGACCGCACTCATAAATGGTTACAGTGTTGTTTATGCAGCCTGTGATTAAAATGAATTATGGTGTTTTTATGTCTTTTTATTGCGCACTTGCAAAATTACTTTTACAAATGACGAAAAAAAAGTTCACTGGTCTCTTCACAGACTCTTTAGCTGCAACTGCTGGCACATAACGTTCAAACTGTGAAAATAGAGATTTGTGTTTAATAGTCAACCTTGGTTTTCTGAACTCTTAATACTAAACGGGTGTTTTATTGATGTTTTATTGCAGAAGAAAGGTTTTAATGTTGATGCTGCTTACTTAAACAGGTCTCATTATCCTCAACGCTTGGTACGGCAAGTTCGTCACAGACAACAGCAGAAAACACGAGAGGGCAAAGGTCATTGATGTGACCGTGCCACTGCAGTGTCTGGTGAAAGACTCAAAACTCATCCTCACTGAGGCTACCAAGGTAATAAGTCAAGGCTTTCAAACTCAAAATGTAACACTTGAAAAGTCAGTTTTACAAGTATAGTGTTTATTCCAAAATTTTTTTAAGAATTAAGTGTTTTCCTGCAGAAAAATAGAGTAGCCTCACAAGTTGACATCCACGGCTCGCTACGTTAGTCTCTTGGCAGTGCTGCATGACTTTGTGTTCCCTTTCCAGTCAGGACTCCCTGGCTTCTACGACCCCTGTGTGGGGGAGGAGAAGAGCCTGAAGGTGCTCTATCAATTCCGCGGGGTCATGCACCAAGTCCTGTCAGGAGACACGGAGTCACTCAGGATACCAAAGCAATGTAAGTCCTTTGGACAGTATGCTTATGCACTCACTGGCCACTTTTTTAGGTACACCTCTTCAGTCATTTTTAAATGCAAAATATCTTAACAGTCAGTCACATATCAGGAATTCGTCTCATTCGGACATGTAGACACGGTCACGATGACCTGCTGAGGAGAATGGGAGGGAGAAAGGTGGCATATTTATTTGTGCCAAATTGACTGAACTGAATGTTTCCGAAACTGCTGATCCATTGGGATTTTCCCACACAGCCATCTCTGGTGTTTAAAAAAAGATAAGTGAGAGTGAGTTCTCTAGGTGAAAATGGCATGTTGACGTGAATAGTCAGGCTGATTCAAGCTGATAGGAAGGCAGTGGCAACTTAAATTGAGCACTGCTTACAAGCAAGGTATGGAGAAGAGCATCTCTGAATGCACAGCTCTTTGAAACTTGAAGCAGCAGCAAAAGACCACACTGGGTGTCACTCCTGTCCACTAAGAACAGGGAACTGAGGCTGCAATTCAGACCAGCCCAAAATTGGACAAAGGAAGACTGGAAAACCTTTGCCTGGTCTAAAGAGTTTTAGGATGTTTTCAAACCTATAGTTTGTTTACTCTGGTCCAAATCTGTTGCTGAGTTTATAAACTTGTAGGTATTTCCTGTAATATGTAAATGTAATGCCATCAGTATGCAACAAAATCTTTGAGCAGCGTTTCCAGAACTTTATTGAATCTATGCAACAAAGAATCGAGGCAGCTCAGAAGGCAAAATAGGGTCCAGCCCAGTACTGGCAAGATGTACCAAACGAAGTGGCCGGAAGTGAGTACAGTACCAGCATTTCCACAATTTCTATAGAGTTAACATACTTGCAGATTCATACTTTTGTTTTCTGTCTTACCCATCCTAGTCTTAGATGTTTTAGACTGCAGGGTAAATTGACATCAAATCTAAAAGTCTTTTTGATATGTTAAACATGAGATTTTTATTTGTTTGTTTATTTGTTTTTTATTTATTTGAAAATGTCTGTTAAGATATACCGTGCTAGGCTATCTGCCATCTCGGCATGCCCGATCTGACTTTGTGGATGTTATTTCTACTTTACAGCTCACAGGATTGATGCAGACACATAGGAGCACTCTCCCGCTGACCAAAAAGACTCACCTCTTGACTGTTTAACAGAAGATGGATAAAACTCTGTTTTAGATACGACATGGATTCAAGTCTCTGTTACGCAGAAATTGTGAATTTACTTTTTTGTGTTTATATTCATTTAAATATGCAGAGAGGAATAAAATCATCACAGACTGGATTAATCTGTGTCTATGGACTGGGTCGCGGCCTGCTTAAAATTCTGATGTGACACCAAAATCAATGGCTACCATCTTAATTCCCCGGTGTCCTCGGCTCTTTGGTATCCATTTATTTTTGGTATTGCGTGTAATTTATAACAGTTCTGTGTACTGTATTGTACAAAAACTGCAGTGCCTGTGTGACTGAAGACATGAATGCACCTCTGTTTAAATGCCATATGATTAAAATCTATCTCTCATGTTGTTGAACTATTATTGCCCCTTTATTTAAAAACACAAAAAGAACCAAAACACCTTTTTTGTCATGCTTTTGGTATGAACTGTCTTTACTTTGTTGTAGCCAAGAAAATAGTCAACTTGCTTTCTTCTTAGCGTTCTTTTGTTTTTACCAGAAATAGAAGAATCGCTTTCTTTTGGCCCTGACTCACAAGTGCGGGTATTTCAGCATGTTTGATTTGCCAGATATTCATAGTGGATGCCCCTCCTGCCACAACCCCGAAGGCATTTGTATGTCGCTCCATGAACAAACGCAGTTCTTTCACTTTCTGGATGAATGTAAAAGATACTGGAAACCTGAGTCACAGCATTATCTTTGCCTGGTCGGGATGACTAACGGGCTCTGGGATGAAATTTACTGGAAACCACGTCAGTTGACTAATTGAAATCTAGGCGTCTGTTTCACTTCAGTTTTCCTTTACTTAAGACTCTTTCGGCAGAGGACCGAGCATTTTAATGGACTGGACTAGTTGTCGAAGACGTGAGGAGCACTATGGATGAAAGCAGCAGCTCCGACCCGGACCAAAGTCCGCCTAAGAAGTCTTCAGCAGCTGCAACAGCGTCAGCCTCATCTTTCAATGCAGATGTAAGAGTCCCTAAAAGTTACTTGGAAATATAGAACCGATCAGGTTAACAGAAACAAAAACCGCGTTAATTGCATTTTTAGTCACCTTATCCTCCTCGCGCAAAATTGACCGCAGTCGCAAAATCTCCAATACACCGGAAATCGATCATGGCAGTTTATCCACAAATACACAAAATCTGACATCAACCTGCCTCGTTTGGATATTAAATTCCTGTAGGAAAGTAAAACTTCTCATCAAACCGCAATGAAGGCGAAAAGACGATCCTCATAAGGTGGGACAGACAAAACATAGCAATGCAGTAGATACAGAAGAACTACGATCGTGCATAATTGTAACATTTTTATTTTTCTTTGTTTCAGAACTTACAACTTAGAATATTTCTGCTGTTTCGCACATTTTGATACAAAAAGTCCATATTTGTCCACAAGTAATAACATTTTTCCCTCATCAGTTATTTATGTCAAACCGAAGGGGCTGCCTCATGCCGAAGCTTGCTTCTTAAAAAAGTTAGGTCGAAATTTCGAATGATCTTAAAATTTGTTATTTTTCATTTACAGAAAACAAACTTTTTTTTTCTGTAGTGATGTAAACGCATTGTTATAGTGACCCACTACTGAGGTTAGAGTGAAGAATAAAAATCTGCACCTTAATTACTTCTATTGTGTTTTCACCAGCACTTACTTTTAGGCCCCAGTCACAGTCAGCTGCTGGCTGGACGAGTAATGCAACCACGCCTAGTGGTTTTACATTCAATTGAATGTAAATGCCAAACATTTTGCCCAAGACACCACTCTTTAAAAAGGAAAATATGCACTTAATAAAAACAAAAACAACTTCTTAGTTGGAAATAAATGCTTTTCCTGTATTTTGGCTGGGAAAGTAATGCCTCAAACCCCCCAATGACCCCAGAAAGTTTGTTTCTAACTAAATATAAACATTGCTAGGATAATATTTTATACAGGCGAACATTGGTACAATTATGATATATCTCACCCCCACTTTGCTGGGTGGAGTAATAGATATAGTGCACCAAGATTCGTATGATTCATGTTTTTAAGGAGTCTAAAATGTGTCAGAATGTTGTCGCTTCAACTTCTCTTTGCAATATCAGATTTCAGTTCTGATAGCAGTCACACCCAACGTGGTTTGTAAATAGTAGTAATCTGCACTACTGTAGTCTTTTTGTGTTGTAATTCCTTATTATTAGGCTGTTCAAAAAGCTCCATGAAAGACCTCCATTGAATCCAAAATTGTACAACAGCAATACTTACTGGGACCAGGCCTCATTATAATATCATATCACCCCAGTGGAGGTCTTTCTAGGTTTGCTTTTGGTTCCTAGTTTCCAAAGGCAAATTGTGAGTCAGAGCATTCAGCTATCAAGCTTCTCTCCCTTGTAAGCAGCTCCCAGTTTCGATTTGATTTACAGACATCTCCTCAAATTAGGTTTAAAAATGTCCTTTTTAATAAAACCCAGTTAGGGCAGAATCCAGTGACCTTGAAACATTCTTAGTTGTTTTGTTATAAACTCTGGCTGCTGGGAACGGCACATGATGCACTTAACATTTCAGTCCTTATGCATTTACTAGTGTACATCACTGACTTCTTTCTAACAGTTTATATTTTGTCCTTGTGTCCGTGTGCTCTCTTTATCTTTCTGTTTTTGTTCTCTTTTTTTAAGGTCCTGGAGGAGATCTTCCTAAATGTCCCTGCCTGTCAGGTGGTTTGTGTTTGTCAATTAGTATGCCATCAGTGGAAGGAAGTGATTGACAGCGAATCTTTGTGGAGAAAAAGGTGCAGAAGAGAAGGGTATCCCATCTGTAGTTTTTCAAAAAAAACAGGACTGGAAGTTGTTTTATTTCTTGTCCAAACAGAAAAGAAATCTCCTCAAGAATCCAAATGGAGAAGGTAAGTAACCATAAAATGAACTTTACTTAACATAGTAGTATGATTCATTTTCACATAAATCCAAAACATTTAAAACACCATTACTATTACTATTATTTATTTATTTGTTTATTTTCTAGAAGGACTGAATGGCTGGAAGATCTTGAGAAATGGTGGCGATCAGTGGGTTGCTTAGGAGACCACATCCAGATGAAGCAGTCAAAACAAATGTTGCAACCTCTTTTGAGTGAGTATTTAACCCTAACGGATATACAAATGTAACTGATCCTCTAAACCCATAGACGTAGAGATGAAAATGAAAATTTCATCTCTGCGTGATTTTATGCAATGCAGACATGTGAAATGTTGGATAATAACCCAGAATGTTGAATCTGTTCATCTGGACGTTGCGCTTTTCAGTGGGAGAGAAGTCACTTGAATGAGTGATTTCTCTCCCAGTGAAGTGAAATCCTGGAATTTCCTTACCTGGATATTTGAGCATGCATCAAGACTTGTATAATACAACATTTTAATTATTATTAATTGTTATTATTTTTTTTATCATTCATTATTTACTTTTCTAGCATTAAAAATTATATTTAAAAAATATTCCAAGTTGTTTGAAAGCTGGAAAAAGAAATACCTTAAAACTTTCTTACAGTATATATGAAATAAGCTGCGTAAATTATTTGATAGAAACGATTTGATGAATAGTGTCTATTTGCTGTTCGAAATTGTTCATTTAAAAAAGGGGGAAAATCCCCGGATGACCCATAGCGGAAGTCTCCGTCAAGAAGGCTTAGAAGAGTGTTAGCTAGGTATGTTTTCCGGAGTATCCCCGGTGTTTTACGGTATTAACATAATCAGTCTGTGTTCTTCAGTTACTGCGTGCTAGAGAGTGCAATCACAGTGGGAGTGACTGTTGTGGACGAACTACCTTTGTAGCATTTTAGAGCATAACCCCGCCTATGAAAGGCGACTCGAATGTCTCGAGGTAAATACCACCGCAACTGACAGGAAGGGCAACGTAACATGAGAGTACAAACCATGTATTCCCGTAAGTGATTACTTTGACTGTAGAAATTAAACGAGTCACTTGTCGTTGGTTAAATTTAGTCTTGTAACATTATGACTTCTAATCTATAAAACAGTTGGACCTTATCTCTAGCTGCACTTCCGCGTTGTCGGCTACAAGTGGGTCAGCACCAACGACGTTAGAAAAGACTTGTTTTTAGAGAAGACAGCGAGGGGGGTATAGTAACATCAGGCTACTTTACAGCCCTTGGTTCGTCGCAGGGCATGAAGAGGAAAACGAAAGTCATGGGTGCAAGTCACAGCTATGGTACTGCGAGTTCAAAGTCTGGCACAAGCTACGTTGTAGCACAGCACGCAACCTCGTCCTCGGCTCAAGAGGTGAGTGCCTTACTGGACTTTTAAACACAAGGTAACTGCTGAATGAGCTTTGTCTATGCATGTGCTGTTTGTTGTCCATCAGCCAGCAACGGAAAAGAGCAAAGTGATAAAGTTAAGCTCAGGTTTATATAGTGTCAGTTTACAACAAATAGTTGCCTCATTGCGCTTTATATTGTCAGGTAAAGACGCAGCAGTATTGGAGAAGGAAACAAGGGTACTCAACAGACCAATCACAGGGTTTTGGGGTTGCCCCCTAGAGACGTGAACGCCAGGTTACAGAGTTTCAAATGGGTTTGCAATTCCTTTTTTT